TGTGTCTTCACATCGTCTTCCCTCTGTGCACGTCTGTCTCTGTGTCCAAGTTCCCTCTTTTTGTAAGGGTACCAGTCATTGTTGGAATAGGCCCACCCTAATGACCTCATCTTAACTTGGTCATCTGCAGAGACCCTACTTCCAAATAGGTGGCATTCACAGGTACTGGGGGGTTAGGATTTTGACATTTTGGGGGGGATACAATTCAGTCCATAACGGGTGTGAGGGAGGGATGCAAGTCTTTTCTCTTCTCTTCCCCTCACGTATCCCCCAGACCATGACTGATGTGGTGGGTAACCCAGAGGAAGAGCGCCGAGCTGAGTTTTACTTCCAGCCTTGGGCTCAGGAAGCTGTGTGCCGATACTTCTACTCCAAGGTGGGTGCCTGGGCATGGGAAACTGACGAAAACCAAAGGGTCTGAACCCCTGGTGGGGGTCAGTGGTATTAGGTACCAGCTTCTGGTTTGTCTCATCTTCTGCTCCCTTCACTATTTTCTCCCTAGGTGCAGCAGAGACGACAAGAATTAGAACAAGCCCTGGGAATCCGAAATACATAGGGCCTCCCTCACAGCCCTGATTCGGCTGCACCGATTCTTACTTGGGCCCTGTGCTGCCTGCCTCATAACACCTGCCTTGGTCTTGCTTGGGGCCTTCCAGGGGATGCTGTTGGTTCAAGGACAACACCAGAATGAAGAGGGTCTCACATTTCTGTCTCATAAGACACCTATTACCCTCTTCTCCCATCCCATCCCTTCCTGTCCCCCAGCTTCCCTTTGCCCCACAAAGTTCCCATGTGCCTCTACCCTCCCCTGGTCTACATAGGACCTCTAGATAGTATTAGAGAGAGAACCTGTAGTGGTAATCAGTGCATTGAATGGATTGGGCCTAAGGCCAGGTGGTCTTCAAGGGGACCGGCTACACTGATCCTGCCCTTCAGAGACCCAGGAGTTGGGAACTTCAGCCCCTTCTCTGAGACTCAGGCCTGGGGGCACTCTATAAGCTAGTTGATCTTTGCTCTCCTGATAACAGAATCCAATTTCCTTCCTTCCCTCCACAGGTTTGGAGCACACTCCTCCTTCACTTGTTGCCCTCTAGCACTAAAGGAACCCTGGTTCTTGGGCTCCCCTGAGCCCCAGGTCAGTCCGCAGCCCTCTAGATTGGCCTGCCATCTCAGTGCTTCTCTTACTCCCTCGTAGGGGGTCCACATCAGTATTGGAGTTTGATCTGTAACTGTTGCTCCCTCCCAGCACACTCCCTATAGCTGCTCTTTATAGGATTCCTCTCCTACTGATCTGTCCTAATTCAGGGCATTTGGGTGAGGAGGATCTTGCCTTTCCCTGTCAGAGCTCCAGGGATCTAACCTTGGGGTGTTGTCATTGCCAGCAGAGGCTGTTCCTTCCTGCTGTTGCTTAGAGGTGTGACTCATTTATTCACTCCACCCTGCCTCCCCCATCCCTTCATGGAGACACAGGCCTGAAATCAAACGGGTAAAAGCCCTGGGCCATCCCTGTCTTCCTGTTCCCTGTCTGCCCAGTTGACACCCACTGGTGACTTCTAGGGCACTGAGGAGTGAAAGCGCCTAGGGCTGGCGAATAGCTCTGAGTTGGGTTTGTGACTCTTCCCTCTCCCTGCCTCACAGGATTGTGACTCCCCAGCCCCTGCCCTCAAAGCTTCAGACCCCTCAGGTAGCAGCAGGACCTTGTGATCTTGGCCCCTTGGAACTGAGATGGTTTTGCATCTTTCCAGGAGAGCCTCAGATTCTTCTTCCAGGTTGTATCACCCCGAGTTAGCATATTCCAGGCTCGCAGACTCAACATAGCTGGGTGGGAGACAGCTGGGCACAGAGGGGGAATTCCGTTCAGCCTGGGCTCTAAACCCACAGAACTGACAAAGCCCCTGCTTCCCCACCCACCCCGTCCTCAGGCTCCTGCGAGCACATCCTCCAGCCCCATATCCCTGCCTGTTCCACGCTGGGAACAGCAGAATTTTCTCCCCATCTTCCCCTTCCTGCCATTAACCCACCTCTCCCTTAAAAGGTTCTTCCCACAGGGACACTGGACAACCTCTGTCCTTGGGGGCTGGAACCATGAGAAGGAAGCTCAGCACTCCTACATAGTGTCCCTGTTGAAGATAACTGTTTTTATTAACTGAATTATTATGTTTTTTTCATGGACCAAAATTTTTTTTGTACTGTCCCCTTATTGATGTCACCCAGTTTTAATAAAAGAATCTTCTGAAGGATGGGTCCCCCTGCCTACTGAGGGAGAGCACTTCCCTGAGCTCTTTCTCCAAATACCATTAGACATGCTCATGGTGTTTATTCATCTTATTTGACAAATATTTATTGAGCACCTGCTGTGCCAGCTGTGGTGCTAGGGGTATGGTGGAAAACAAGGTTTCTACCCTGCGGACGTCAGGTTCTCACCTTAGAGCTTGCACTTTCAGCCCAGTGGTCCAAGCAGGCCAGGGGCTTTTGGGATTATTGGGCTTCCTCACTGGATCTGAGGGTCCTGCCCCCGGCTCTTGTCAGGGATATATTAACAAGACCGTGGCACTGCCATCCCCCCTAACTTTCCAGGCTCCCCATTGCACTCGCTGGCTCCAGAGCACTGCCTTTGAGTGCCTGTGATTCATTAGGCTTGATGCTCTTGAGCCACCTGTAGAGGAGTTCCTCTTCTCAGGGCTCCTATCTAGGCAGGGCCTGCACAGCTGAATATTGTGTTCCTTTGCCTGCTGTCTCTTTAAGGTTCCACTTTCATGGTCCTGAGTGAGATTTCAGTTCTTAAGACCTGCACAGAGTGCTGTGTTGTCCTCTCTGTACTAGATTATCAACCCCTCAGCAGAGTTGAGAAGACTGCTCAGGATTGATCCCCTGTTAGCAGAAGCATGAAATTCTGCAGTTCCCTTCAAAATGTGCCTGCTTCCCACCTAGTGCCATTATCTAGCTTGGTTCTACCCTCGGTGGGGGTTTAGAACGTACAATGAGTGAAACTGCAGTCCAAAGTTGTAAAAAAACAAACAAAAAAAACTTCGCCTCCATGGATGGGAACACCCAAGTATTGCCTGCATCCAGTCAGACCCACCAAGGATGCAACCTGTTCCCATTTTGGAACTTGGGGGTTTATCAGACTTGAGTAGGGAAAACAAGAAAGTGTGGGGTGAGAACTTGGAGTGGAAAAAATTGATGTCAAGGACATTGAAATGGCATCTGTTTTTACCCAGGCTAATTACATGTGTAATGAATGGCTGATGAACCATTATTAATTTCAAGCAAATAATCTACAGTTCGCTCTTGGGAAAAGAGCTCTACAGATAACTTCCTGTGAGGAGCCAGTTCTGAATCTGCACACTCTTTATTCATATATAAATGCAGAAACTCTTTGTCTCCAGATTTAGTATGATTTTAAGGGCAAAATGAAAGAAGGAAGCATTTAGGCAAAAACAAGGGGGGTTTTATGCATAAACATCCATTCTCCGGCATTGCCATCATATGCACCAGGGACAGAAGCATTCTTTCCCATCACCCGTAATCAGTGTTCCCAGCTGGCACTTGGCACTGGTGCCTTTGTCTCTGTGCCAGTGCAATAATGGAGTGATCTGTGGAAGGCTGGCTTTGTAGCAGGTGCAACTTTACTCCTAAGAGAGACCAACTACCAGCTTCGTGAATGTTCCCCTACAGGAACACCTTGGCCATGGTTGGGGTTGGGGGGAGGAAGGGGAATATGGTGGGCTCTTCCCAGGCAGTCCCTAGAACTTAGAAAAACCATTTCTGCACAGACTTGCCCTCGAGCCCATTTACCCTCGAACCCTTACACAGTGGTTGCGCACGGACTCCCCTCTGGCCCAGTGCTCATTGCTGTTGGCGGCCAGCAGTGGCCCAGAGGAATAAAAACACCCACTCAGCAATCTGCCAAACCAGGAGGTCAGCACATGAGCAGACACTGGTGTCTGCCCTCTAGGCCAAGGTGCAGAGACAGCTGGAGTGTTAGAGCCATTTGTCCCACTGCAGATCAGCCTAGAAACCAGAGCTGCTTCTCTTAAACAAATGGCTGTGGATGATGTAGGGCCCTGAACTGTTCAATGTGTTCAATTTTTTTTTTTTTAATGTTTACTTTTGAAAGAGAGTGAGCAGGGGAGCGGCAGGGGGTGGGGAGGTGGGGGAACAGTAGATCTGAAGCGGGCTCTGTGCTGAAAGCAGGGCTCATCATGTGAACTCAAACCGTGAGATCATGACCTGAGCTGAAGTCAGATGCTTAACCGACTGAGCTACCCAGGTGCCCCTCAATGTATTCTTTCCAGTCTCTTCCTGTGCCTGAAATCACACACCCCACTTACTCTCAATTACAAGATCTGAGGCCACAAAGCTCCACAGAAGTTACAGCAGTCCTGTTTCCCCCGCTTCTGGCTTCTAGCAAACTAGCCAGTAACCTGAAGGAGCCCATAATGTGGTAGCTTGGAAACCCAAGAAAGACTTGAAGGAAGCTCAAAGCCTCTCAAGGATAGTGAATGCTTTAGCTGCCTTCTTTTCTATCCTGTCCTTCCTTAAACCAGACTCTGCAAGAGAATTGTAGGCCATTTGGCATCAAAGCTTTTAGCTTTGACTTTTCCCACCTTCTTTTCCTGGAAGACATTCAGGTGAGGATACTTTGGGGTGAGGAGAGAGGCCCAAGGGTGAGTCCCTAAGATGAAGACTGGGTAACTGAGATGACCTTGTCTCTCAGGGCTCCTGGGTCTCTTCTTATCCTTGGGCTGGGATTCCCCAAAGTAGGCCTTTACCTCTTATGTGGTCTTATCTTTAAAAGTGAGCCTGCATAGGGGCGCCTGGGTGGCTTAGTCAGTTAAGCGTCCGACTTTTGCTTAGGTCATGATCTCGCGGTTCGTGGGTTCGAGCCCCGCGTCGGGCTCTGTGCTGACTGCCAGCTCAGAGCCTGGAGCCTGTTTCAGAGTCTGTGACTCCCTCTCTCTCTGACCGTCCCCTGCTCACACTCTCTCTCTCTCTCTCTCCCACTTAGAAATAAATAAAACATTTAAAAAATTAAAAAAAAAAAAAAGTGAGCCTGCACCCACGCACCTCACTCAGGCAGCCCTGCAGTAGAGCTAGTGTGGGGCCAGTGACATGTAGTCTTTTGTCACTGCTAGAGGGTAAACCTGTAGAGCAGATCTTGGGGTCCTAGGAGGATATGTGGTGTGATTCCTACCGTGGAAAAGATTTGCTACTAGGACTGAACACAATTTATGCCAGTGCTGGGGGACAGAAGGGAATGAGGGGGGCCCAAGAAATCTGGGGTATTTCTTGGCAGATTTCAAAATGAGACCATTACAGGGAAGGAGGGCTGGGGCCAAGGGAAGAAGCTCACTAGCACCATCAGCTGGCTAGCCTAAAAAGAAAAGCAGGCCCTGGACTCTGCCCCATTCCTGCTCTCCACCTATCTTTACCCTTTTCTCCCCTTTCCCTGGCTTTGCCAGACTCCGTCTCCCTGGGCTCCTGCCTCCTCACCCGCCCCTGGAGGGCGGGACTTGGCTGCACCCACGTGTGGTGGAGTTATATGCTCCGAGCCCCGCAGAGAAGCTGGGAGCGCAGCACTGAGCCAGATCAGTTAGAGCAGTGGCACGATGGCTGGCAAGAAAGTCTGCATTGTAGGCTCCGGCAACTGGTGAGTGGCTCTGTCAAGGAGTATGGGGAGGGAAAGGGAGGTTCCCCCAAATACACAGGGCGTTAGGGAGAGAGGCAGACCCTGGGTAGAAAATGCCCCCTAGTTTCTGTTCCACCCCTGCTATCTTCTGTGCCTACCCCCACAGGACAGATGGTGCCCAAACCTTTTCCTGGCTCTTGCCTGCCTGGGCAGCTGCACCTGTTCACCAAAGGGAGGGAGCTTCCAGAGTCCTCTCTGCCTGAATAACTACTTAGGGTTGAAGGGTTGGGGAGATCAGAAGGCTGTCCCCCTTTTCTGGCTGCAAAGTGGAAGGTTAGACTAAGTCTCCTTTCTACTGCCAAAGACACACTTTCATGGTGGTGGGGGTCACAAGGAAGGTGGCAAGTAAATAATCTGGTGGGCTACTGTGCTATCCTGAGGTGGAGCATTGCCCCCTCCCCTGCCACCGTTCCCCACTCTTGCCCTGACTCCTCCCCCTTCTGTCTTCCCCCTTCCACCAGGGGCTCTGCTATCGCCAAGATTGTGGGTGGCAATGCAGCCCAGCTGTCACATTTTGACCCACGGGTGACCATGTGGGTGTTTGAGGAAGACATCGGGGGGAAAAAGCTGACAGAGATCATCAACACACAGCATGAGAATGTCAAATACTTGCCAGGGCACAAGCTGCCCCCCAACGTGGTGAGCCCCAATACCCTGGGAGAGGGAAGCGGATGGGTGCTTCCTGCTGAAGGGGGTGGGGGTTCATTTCAGCTGCTCCTTGGACTTGGGAAGCATTTTGCTCTGGGCACAGGGCACCTCTATGTAAAGTGCCCAAACTGCTCTCCTGGGACCGAAGAGAACTTGAACCCTCTCCATCCACACACACACACCCATACACTTATGGGCTCCAGGAAAGGGTGGGGGAGAAGACAAGGAAGTTGGTTTCCATGACACCAAAGACTTGGGGTCTGGGTAGCACCTGCCTCAGGCTCTAATCCTGTTACTTATTCACGGGTTATTAGCAGACTTGGAAGCTGCTCCTTGGACTTAAGGTCCTTAGTCAAATCCATGTGGCTTGTTCCCAACCTGGAAAGGGAGAGCAGGGACGACAGCAGGAAGGGCTCTCCCTTCCCAGTTGGTAGACTTAAGAATCAGGGTGATGAAATCCTACTTGGCCTCTCCCTCCTGCCAAGTCCAGGCCTCCTGTGGCCACCCTCACTGTCCCATAGCCAAGGGCTAGAGAAGCACTGAGATGAGGCTCCCAGGAGTCCTCAAGAGCCCTGGGCAACTGGAGCCAGAGAGAGATGACAGTGAGGGGGAGGGAATGTAGTGTTCCATTCCTCCAAGTTCAGGTCTTCCAGGTTAGATCACCCAATTGCCTTGCCTTCTCCTCCACCAGCCTCACACCTTAGCTTCTAGATCTCCTAAATGGGCTAGGAGAAGGCCATGAGGCCCATGAGCACTGGTTGCCCCCCACAGGTGGCTGTCCCAGATGTGGTCCAGGCTGCAGCAGGTGCTGACATCCTGATCTTTGTGGTGCCCCATCAGTTCATCGGCAAGATTTGTGATCAACTCAAGGGCCACCTGAAGGCAAACGCCATTGGTGTATCTCTTATTAAGGTACCAGGAACACTTTCATGTGGATGAGGGGCAGCTAACTGTTGTGGGGTCACGGTGGGGGAAGGGAGAACAGAAAATAGCAGAAGTAGACCAAGAGCTTTTTGGAGAGAAGAGAGGAGTTGCTTTGAGGAGGCTGAGAACTAGGTGCTGGGGGCCACAGGGGTGGGGAGGTTGGTTGGGGAGTAGTTAGCTTTAGAGGCAGATGTCTCGAGTTTAGGAGACATACAGGAGATGGCTGGGGGTATGAGAAGTGGGCTTGTGTGAGGAATGTGAAAGGAAGCTGGTTTGGAGCAATGGCTGGGACGGAAGTTGGTTTGGGGTACTCGGGGGTGGATTGTTTAGGGATGTGGAGAGGTAGGTTGGTTGAGGGCATATGGAAGAATTTTCAAATGAATTCATTTTCACATGCCATCTACCCTCCTCACAGCAGGCTTTGGCTGGGTTGGAATGGGGCAGGGCCTTTGGGGAGGGACACTGATGAATAGTAGATTTGGAAGGGGCAGGACTTCTGGGTGGGAAGCCCTCAGTTGGGCATAAGGGGCACCTGGCCTGAGCTCCATCCTGTGCCCAGGGGGTAGACGAGGGCCCTAAAGGGCTGAAGCTCATCTCTGAAGTGATTGGGGAGCACCTTGGCATCCCCATGAGTGTGCTGATGGGGGCCAACATTGCCAACGAGGTGGCTGATGAGAAGTTCTGTGAGACAACGATTGGTGAGAGCCCTAACCATCACCTACACGCGCAGTTTGTCACATCCCCTTTCTATGCTCCCACCCCCACCCCCACCTAGCCATCTTCTCCCCCATAAGGCAGGCAAAGGAAAGAAGACCCAAGCATCAGAGGTGAGGGAGGACTGGGACACCCACAGGGAAAGGGTGGCAGGTCCTGCTTAGGGCTGGTGTGGGAAAAGAATCCCCTCTCAGAGCTTTGCCTCCCTTCCCACTTTAGGCTGCAAGGACCAGGCCCATGGGAAAAGAATCCCCTCTCAGAGCTTTGCCTCCCTTCCCACTTTAGGCTGCAAGGACCAGGCCCAAGGAGAGCTTCTGAAAAAGCTGATGCAGACACCCAATTTCCGCATCACTGTGGTACCAGAGGTGGATACAGTAGAAATTTGTGGTGCTTTAAAGGTGAGAGGGGTGCAGAGGCATCCATGAGGTGGGGAGAAGGTCCTGAAGAGGGCCTGGCTTAGCTCTGAGTTTGTTGGTACACCTCACTCTTGGGCAATTGCTTGCCTTCCTCACTAAGTCCCCACATACACAGGAAGAATTGCAACAGCAAGGTCAGGGTCATTCAGGCCTGCCAATTATTCACTATCAAACACTGGAGTTCCCTCCTTCCTTTCTTCCTATAGCCCCTTGTAGGACATTCCTGTCCTTGCCTCCAGGGGCAGGGGGTTCAGGGGGAAGAGGAGATGTCCTGGGAAAGCACCCAGGCCAATGGGAGATAAGACACTTAGGACACCCAGGCAGGCAGATGGCCAGAACTCTGGATCTTGGAGAAGTTGAGGATATCAGGGATATGGAACAGAACAGTCAACGATGGGAGGGCTAACTGAACAGAATACTGGTTTTCAGCAAATGTTTGCAAAGATGGAGTAGGGGGCAGGGTTGGGGAGCCTACCCACTATATTTCACATGGCTGAGGGAAGGAGCATGAAGCTGGTGCTGGAGGGGCCTGCAGGAAGGGATCCTTTCTCACCTGTGACCTCCACTCCCCAAAGAATATAGTGGCGGTGGGAGCTGGCTTCTGTGATGGCCTAGGCTTTGGTGACAACACCAAGGCAGCGGTGATCCGACTGGGCCTCATGGAGATGATCGCCTTTGCCAAGCTGTTCTGCAGCGGCCCTGTGTCCTCTGCCACCTTCTTGGAGAGCTGTGGTGTTGCCGACCTCATCACTACCTGCTATGGAGGGCGGAACCGAAAGGTGGCTGAGGCCTTCGTCCGCACAGGAAAGGTGGGAGCCTGGGAGAATGGAGAATGGAGGGTGGACCCTTTAGGTGCCTAAGATCCCATCTCCTATCTGAGCCACAGACTCTCCACCTCCCACTGACAACTGTCCTCTGCCATTTCCATCCACCCGTCTTGTTTTCTTTACAGCCCATTGAGCAGCTTGAGAAAGAGATGCTGAATGGGCAGAAGCTGCAGGGGCCCCCGACAGCCCGGGAGCTACACAGCATCCTCCAGCAGAAGGGCCTGGTGGACAAGTAGGTGTCTGCCCCAGCCCCAGTGGAGGAGGGAACCACAGCCAGAAATGCTCTCCACACTCATGTTCCTGATCCCTCCTCAATCTGTGAAGTGGGTAGAGAGGGAACCTTGTATTTACAGACAAAGAAACTACAGCCTGGATAGAATCTGATCTGCCCGCTGTCCCCCAGCTAGTTCATCGACTTTGAACTCCCTCCAGTCTACTGCTCTTTGCACCACATTGCTTGGACCCCTCTGCATAGCCTCATTTCCAGTCCTTTCCTCCTGTCCTTTGCTATGGGGGCTGGAGCTCTGGGGCAGCAGGAGTACACTCAACTGACTGTCCCACCTCTCTATCCATCATCCCCAGTCTAAGCTGCTCCCTGGAAGCCAACATTTCTGTCCCCTGAATCTTGTCCTGGGTGCTAAGGTGTGAGGAGGACAGGCTCTGTGTCAAAGTGCTCCCTGAAAAGGAGCACAAAGACAGTGGGAGTGATCGGCTGATTAGAACAGAGCTCTATTGGCCTGAGAAAGAATCCTAGAGTAAGAGAGTATGAAACAGATTCAGAAGATCAGCTTATGGCTGGTCAGGGGAAAGCCACCAGGTAAAGGAAGCAGCCTGTATAAGAGGATGGGAAGAAGCAAATGCATTTATTGAGTACCTTCGCATTAATACATAATCACTTCTTCATTACTTTGTTATATTGGTCCCATTTTACAGTTGATGATTCTGAGGCTTAGAGAAGTTAAGGCTCTTGCCTAACTAGAACATAAACATTCATGCCAGGGAATCATACAGGTAAGTTCAATACAATGGGGAGCAGGGCAATTAACAGCCTGTCCCCAAACCCAGGACTAGGAAGTTCAAATTCTCAGCAATTGGAAATTGAGAACCAGAGTCAGCCTGAGCTCAAAGGTGGGAGAGTAGGGGAGTGGAGGGTTAGGAAGTGGACAGGGAGTGGGTGGGGGCAGATTGTAGGGGTATATTGGAAGGCTAATCTGGGTGTCTCCTTCCCCACTCTAGGTTTCCTCTGTTCATGGCGGTGTACAAGATATGCTATGAGAACCGTCCAGTGGGTGAATTCATCAGTTGCCTGCAGAATCATCCAGAACATTTGTGAGCTGGGTTGGGGCCAGGCCAGGCAGTTTCTTCACCCCAGTGGAGACAGTCGGAAGCTTGGGGTACCTGGCCACCAGGATCTCTGTGACTCTCCATGGAGCAGCCTCTTATGGAGGACAGGAGGCTGTGGGGCCCAACTACCTGCCTGGAGATCTTGAATCATCAAGCAGCCTATAGCCTCTTCAACCACATCTTGCCAGAAATGGAGTTGCCTTGTCCCTCTCCAAATGTGGGGCTTTCTCCTTGTCCTCTGGAGGGGGTAGAATCATGCCCCAGTGCCGTCTGCTTTGGGTGTATGTGTTGGGGGGAGGGTGAAGGGAGAGGGAGGCAAGGGCTGCCCACTGCTGCCTCACACAGACCAGGAGTCCTGTCCCCAAGCGCAGTTAAATGGCTAAAGAAGTACCTCAGCCACAAGAGGAATGAGGCAAGGGCTGCCAAGGAGGAGTCTGGGCTTTTGAGCCAACACAGGCCCCAGGGACCCCTTTGCTCTGACCTCTGCCAGGCCCCAAAAAGCATCAATGGATCTCAGTGTTTGTTAACAAAATACAAAGCTCTCAACCCCCTCCTAGCTTCTCCTAGCAACATCTGCGTCCTCAGAAACCTCTGGTCATTCCTTTTCCCCCCACCCCCAGGCTGCCCTGGCACCAGACTTGCTGCCATGCTGGCATCTCTGGCCCTGGAGCTTGTCATTCTCCCCAGGGACTTCCTAGCTCTTGCCAGCTCCTCCCCACCATGCATGACCTTTCTGAGCCTTCCCTCACCCTCTTGGCAAGCGCCCTCTGGGGAGCAGGAACCTAATCTGCTGACAGCTACACCTTTTCATAGATGGTTCAGATCACTCTGCTCCCTGTAACCTTTGTATTTGCTCTGCCTCTCTTTGGAGCTCTAGCTGGGGGGGGGGGGGGGGGGGGTCATTTGGGTGCCTCCGGCCACTATCTTCCCAAGGACATCCTTGGTTCCACCCTTTTTCTCCTCCCAAACCCTGTCCCTATTTCTCAGCTGCCCCCAGAGCAGCCAGGGCAGCTAACCAGCACCTGCATCAGGAGGCCAGGGGCCAGAGAGTAGCCCAAAGGCTAATCAGGGACAGGGAAGGAAGAGTGAGCAAGTCCATGTTGATGGCCCCTGGCGTTCCAAGGCCGGCTCCCCTTTGTCATCTGAAGGCCTTCTCCTGAGGTACTGACCACTTCTGGCACCTCTGGAGCTTGGAAACTCAGGGAGGAAAACATTAAAACCACCCTACCCTCTGTGGTGAGGGAAGAACAGGAAGGGGAGGAGGGAGTATGCTTTGAACTGACTTTGTTTCAGGATGGGTTGGCAGTCAGGGAATGTCACAGGTCAGCAGCCTGGGCCCCTGGCTATAAATAGGCCGTGGGCCTGCCACGCTCCAGCCATGTTCAGCAGAGGATCTCAGCTTCCTATGTGGCAGCACCTGGCACACTGTGGCTCCGCCAGCATTATATTAACTCATTCTTACTCTGTGCCAAACCAAGGAGGCAGGCTCCTTTCAGCCCCCACCCTCCAGGATCCACTGCCCTACCAGTGAAGGGCAGAGCTGCGGGCATCAGGCTGCAGGAGTGAGGGACGCAGCCACCCCAGATTTGGCTGGGCCCAGGTCCGGGCACTGACTGAAACCAGAGCTGCCTCCCCAGGAGGTCAAAGTGGGGACAGAAAGACAACACTTTCCCCTTCAGCGGCAGCTGCGACCTTGTTAGGTATCCCGACACCTTTGCCTACTTTTGTTCACTCCAGAGTTAACAATCTGGGCCTTCCAGTCAAGCCTACTACTTGTCTATTCAATAAATCGTGGTTTTTCCAGAAACAAGTTGGGGAAGGGCGCTTCAGTGCACGTGGCAGTGTGTATGCTGTGGTGTATCACTGCATGTATAGGTTTTCACTCATGCCACTGGGGGGAAAAAATGAAGAGGAAGAAAAAAAAATCCCTCCTCGAAAATCCTAGCCATTCTGGGCCTCTCTGCCCATGCGGTCGGTCCCTTTCTGCCCAAGTGGCACTCCCTTCCCAGCCCTTCCCAGCGCGTTTTTGGGTCTTCACCACTCCTTCTGCAAGCGGGGAGCTCACGCACAGGCCGGAAACGTTAGGCATCCGTCCCTCGTACCCATTCTGTGCCACAGCCAAACCTATCGCATTCTTCGCGGTCCAAGCTTCGCGGTGCCGGTCAATTCCTGAGTTCACGGGGAAAAGGGCAGCTTCAGGCTCTAGGGGGCGCGCGGCCCACCTCCAGAGGGCTGACCCTGAGAGAATCTACCAGTTGCTGGAGGTATCACCGCACCTAGGCTGGGGATTGGCTGACTCTGAATCCAAGAAAAAAGTCATCTTTTCTGTCTTGACTGTGTATCCTAAAAGTTCCGGTCTAGAGCTGGGTCGCCAAAGACCCTCTCTCAATGGAGAATGACTACAACCCCCAGAATGCAACGGTCCTCTTCGAGAGGAAGACTCGTCTGAGGATGCGTAGTAAGGGTGACTGGCCCGGAAGCGCAAGGGCGGCCACCGGCGGAGCTGAGGCGTACGCGGGCTCCGTCCTCAGTGGGTGGGTTTGTATTGTGTCCCGCGCGCGCTTCTTTCTCTGGCGTCGGGAGCTGATTCCTAGACGGTAAGCGGGTCGGGTGGGAGGCAGAAAGGGTGGCTTTCCGCACTAATAGCGCCCCAGGCACCCTCGCGTACATGGTCAGGGCTGCTGCGTCCGCCTGCGCTAGGGAATTGCACAGACTGCGGCGGCCTGACGCTGCCTGCAGAGGCCGAGATTTGACGCTGGGCAGCTGCAACGACCAGGTACACTGTTGCGAGGGTCCCGCAGGAGCCCCCTGTCCGCCGAGGCGCCGGGTCTTGGGCTGACCTTTGTTTACCCATCTTCTCAAGCCCCCGTCTTCGGTGCCCTTGAGATCACGGCGTTCTTTCGCCGCGGATCTCGAGCCGACATATGCACCGCTTCTAGCCCAACAGGCCCCTGACAGCCGTAGGCTTCTGTGAAATCTTGACTCCAATCCCGCGTCTTGGCTCTCCGTGCTCTGACTTCGGTAGCTCGGACCCTTCCCTGCCTTACAGTCGCCTGCGCCTTCATATGTGGCTTTCCTCGGGCACCCTTCGTGCCTGTCGATTTAACAGCTCCACGCTTGCTGCTTTCAGCTCCTCGAATGCTCTCCCCCTCTCTCTTTACTGGTGTAAATCCTGCCCGCCCCTTCTAACAGACAGCTACACACCCCCCTCCAGCTTATTGCTAACTTTTCTTGAGCCCCCACCTTTTCTCTGAACTCTGAGTTTGCCTCTCTTCTGATCAGCTCCGTCTTCTGCCTTATGTAACAGGATTTTGGATATTTATATGGCTCTTCCCCATCAAACCATAGCTGCTTTGTGACAGAAGCCATGTTCTTCTTTGTGGCCTTCATAGTACGAGTAAAAGGTAGATAAATGAATAAATCTAAGCGGAGGTGGCTGGAACACATTTGAGGAAATGATTTCCAGAGGAGAAATTCGAGACTTGAGGTACTCCCATGTTTAGGGGGGTTCCAGAAAAAGAGAAGGGCCAGAACTTTGTGGATTGCACTCTTATGGAATTTTTCATAATGGTTCTTGCGGTTTTTTTTTTTTTTTACCCTATTGCTTTTTTCCTCCGTTTTTTTGAAACTAAAGTGTAACCCCATAATAGACCTGACTTTGAGCTTTTTTTTTTTTTTTTTAAGAAAATGGATGTCTCTCATATGAGAGTGTTTTGCTAACCTCACAAACTTCTTTCATTTTAAAGGTAAATCCTTCTACCTGGGCTTCTAATTTCACCTTTTCCGGAGCCATCCTGGATCTTGTTCCATTCTATCCACCTCTTTTTTTATTCTCAGATTAGCTACCAGCCTCTTCCTTTTTAAAACATTTATACCTTAAACAAAACATAACTAGAATATCCTTGATCTTGTTAATCTTCTCAAGCTGCTGCACCATCACTTCTGTTCCCTTAACCAGAAAATCACAAGAATTCTTTGAGGTGAAAAGTTATCCTTCTAATAATCTATTTCTCTCTGCCCCAGAAAAATACATAGACATATGAAACTTGGGGGCTGGCATTCATGGCTCTGCTGGAACTCTGGCTAAGAATTTGTGCTTTAACTGGGTGCCTGGCTGGCTCAATTGGTAGAGCATGGGACTCTCCATTTCAGGGTCATGAGTTTGAACCCCATGTTGGGCTTGAATCTCTTAAAAAAGAAAGAAAGAACCTGTGCTTTCACTTAGTGCCCAGTCCACTTCAGTGCACTAAATTGACTTCTACCCTAGGTTTATTTACCCATAATTGAGTTACCATTTCCAATCTGGTGATCCCATCTGACCAGTCTTCATGGCACTTAACTTGGAGTAGTGATTCCAATTTTCGTTCTGGCTCAACAGGTGGGAAGGATAACTCAATCGGTGGCAGTGACTTGATTGCAGTGATTTTCAACCAGGAAGGGAGATGTAGTTAAATGAAAAAGCCCTCCCTCCAACCCCCCATGTTTCTAGAATTTGCCACCTGCCTTCTTTCATGAATTCTTCTTTAAACTAGCATTCCCTTGGTTTCTTTCTCCGGTCTTATCCTCTGCTTTGGTGTCACTGTTACCTCTGTATCTATAGCCTAGTCTCTCTCTCAAGATCGGGTCCAGTTTGCCTGTCTATCTGTCTGGTAGACATCACATGAATGTTGTGTTGAACATCTTAATTTTAACATATCCAAGACCCATCTCATGATCTTGACTGCTACTCACTGCCACTACCACCCCATTATGCACAGTGATACACACCTTTTTCTTTTCATTTCATATTCCTATTAACAGTATCCCAATCCACAAGAGTTTCCTAATTTGCTACCTTGGAGATATTCTCAGCTTTGCCTTAATCCATTCCATTAATAAATCTTGTTTTTCTGAAATAACTTCTGCATCTGTCCTCTCCATTTCTAAGGCCCTGCCTTAGCTCATGGTCTCTGGAGAGTTTTTGTTAGCTTGAACATAGAAATCTCAGGTTGGATTAGACAAGAAACAAAAGTGAGGTTCTAGACACCAAAATTACATCTCTCTGTTAGTAGGCCCTCTGCCACTCTTCTAGCCAAGCTGTACCATCCTTTTAACTTTTGTTAGCTGGCGAATGCTTCCAGCCTTCTTCCTCCAGCCCCTCGAAGAAGTGATCCTATAACTGGTTAACATCTGACCAGGGCAGTAGGGGTTAGGTGGAGAAGGAATAAGTGAGATGGAGGCTGAAGGCTGCAGGGTTCTATTGTGGGAGCTTGTTTACCACCTTACCATCCTACTCTGTGTACATGTGTTTGCTTCACTGCCTCACAGCGTGGGGTCCTTTCAAACCTCAGATAACCAAGAACACAACTCTTCCTCACCTGAACTTGTGCCATTTAGTTTTCTTCCTCTGACTCTATTTAGTGTCACTTTCCATAGTCATTTGGAATTAGAATTCAGGGAAGCTGTGTCTCAGCTCATCTTGGGTTCCACCCTCAAGGCCTGTCTCGATGGCTATGCTTAGGCCATAGAGCTCACTGTGAGAAGCTCTTATATGTCTCACCCTACTCTTGACCCCCTAAACCAGCTAATCCTGAGCTTTTCTTCCAAATTCTTGACTTTTAAGAAACCTGTTCTCACTAATTTCAGTCTTTTAATTTCAGTTTCCTCAACAGAGAGGAGCCTAAGAACACATTCATAGTCCCAAACTGAGGAACATTTTGTTCAGGATGAAAGATTCCCATGCTAAACTTTATCTTGTTCTCTAGTTCACAGTATCCAGGGAACAGTTAGATTAGAAGTAATTTATTCATGCGAATGTGAGGTAATTTGTGGGGACTCAGTTTCTTTTTAATACTGGGGATAGGTTCTTAGTATTATGTTTGGAACTTGGAATTAATGTAGGCGGTTAAGTATAATTGAAATAATATAAACATACTATTGGCATTACTTCAGGTATACTGTGGCTTTAAACAGATGCTTGAGGGCTAACCTGGGAACTTAACCACTGTGAACAAGATTGTTTTTATGGGAAAACAAATTGGATATAGCGTAGAAGGTTCTCATTTGATCCTCCCAGAGAGAATTACTGCTAATGTTTAATCCCTGACTACCCCCATTCATTCCCTCCTAGCCAGAAAAACTGATGCATGCTTACAGTCCTACACCAATTAAGAACATTTCTGGGTGGTTCATCCCAGTTATTTTTTTCCACAAACATAGAGGGCCAGGTGTTACCTGTGATGTCATGCAAATGTCTTTCCAGCTGTGTTTTTATATCTCCTATGCAGATTTTGTCTTTTTGACTCTTAAGAGTTCCTGAACAGTATTTTCCAATAGAAGACTCTTTATGTGTAGGGGGCTTCCAGAGTAGAGTACAGACAGACTAAGCAGGACGCAGAAGTTGTAGAATGGCCTTTAACAGAGAAGTGGGCTGGGCAGTTGAGGCCGTATCCTTGGGTCTAAATCCAGTCTGTCTTTGTAGGGGACAACATGCCAACTGCCAAGCAACTAGCTGACATTGGCTACAAGACCTTCTCTACTTCCATGATGCTTCTCACTGTGTATGGGGGCTACCTCTGCAGTGTCCGAGCCTACCACTATTTCCAGCGGCGCAGCTCCCGGCGCCAGGCTGCAGAAGAACAGAAGACCTCAGGAGTCCTGTAGAAGCGGGGGGCTATTTTCCTTGAACAGAGAGGCCTGAGGCATGCCGTGGAATGATCTCACCTGCAATCATTTCCAAGTCGAGAGAACTAGGGCCTTAACGGTTTCTGAATCCTGCCGAGAAAAAGTGCCCATGTTTTCTCTGGTACTGCCAGTTTGGGGAGACTGTTGAATCATGGGAGGATGAGGCAGACATTAAATATTTTGCCATGTCTATGTCTTGGTATTTTTGTTTACTTAAATAGGGGATGGCCTACAGAGGTGTGGGGCCTTGACTACCAGTTTTCTAGTCCCAAACTGGATTTCCATATTTTGAACTCTTAGCACCCATGAAGTGGGGGTATGCAGTTTTAGGAGTCGTAGTATCTATTCATCATCTCCGAGAAAAGACTGTCTCAGCATCTGTATAAATCCCCTGAAAAGACTCCATAGAGACCAAAGCTCTTCTTTGGTCAGTGACCATTCCAGGACCAATTTCTACGTCCAGGTAAAGGGGTACTCTGGCCGGCTCAGGGCCACCGGTGCACCCCTCATTTAAGGAAGGCAGAGGCCCTTGTTTAACAGCCTGATCAAAATTGCCCGAAGTGGAGGAGGCCTAGTTCTCAAAAGGGAAAAGTTGTTGGGCAGCTTATAGTAATGCAGTCCAGCTCCTTAAGCTCAGTGGGTGTAGTATTAGCATAGAATTGATTTCACGTAGGAAATCTACCTGTAGGTCTTTTCACAAAGTTGTGACGAGGATATGTAAGAAAACAGTGCATTCAAGGTAGAACCCGGCTATGAAAAGAGCTGTTCTTGCCACCATTCCATGTCGAGCTTTTGAGTCTTGCTAGTTCACGTGATTCTTGGTAATCACCCAAAATAACAATCCCCTTGAACACTTGTGCATACTGCCCCTCACGTGCTTACTGCTGTGACTTGTCTTTCTCCTCCTAACCCTTTCACCGGAAGGCCCTCTTCTGCGATTAAAAACCTCAGCTTTCCTATACCACCAGCCCTTTTACTCCCATCCTCTCTTGGTGTATTAGCCAAGAACTCTGCTTCCTTCTCTGCTTTCTCTCTTGCTTGAATAGTAGGGTCACCACCATTCTCCAAGCTCCCCTATGTACTTTAAAAAATGTAACATAGGGGCACCTGGGTAGCTCAGTCGGTTAAGCGTCTGACTCTTGATTTCATCTCAGGTCGCGATTTCAAGATCCGGCTCAGTGCTGGGTGTGGAGCTTGCTTAAGATTCTCTCTGCCCCTCCCACCCCCTAAAAAAAAGTATAACATCAGTCTTTTTTTTCTCCCTGACTTCTTTTTCACCCCTTTCCTGCCCCCCTTTTATCTTACATCAGTCTTTTTGAAAAGCTTCTTACCTTCTCATTTCCACTCTCTCTGGAACTTGGGACTTCAGATCTCTTGATACCTTCTGTTTTCTTCCAATCTGTCAGCCGTTTCTTGACCTAAACTGATTTCCTGTCTAGCCTGTGCCCATCACAGGTTTTTCAAACGGCTCTGCTGCCGACTTTGCCTCCCTCATTACCCTTTTCAGCCCCAGGCCTTGCTCTGTTAGTTGTCTCTAATTCACATTCTTCTTTCTTCTCAGTATATAAACTTGCTTAAGGCCCCCCGCCTGTCAAAACAAACTACTCAGGACTTAAGGAGAACTCTGCATGATGCCACTTCCATGACTTAAAATTCTTTCCACTTCCACAATTGTATTGAAACTCCTGGTTAACATGGCCTCTGTTGTGCCACACCCACTGATGATTTCAGTCCTTCCCTGGCTGTTTCTCTGCTGCACTGAAGTTGTACTTTGGCCACAGGGAGGGACTACTATCTTGTTTCCTCCTATGCCTTTGACATTTTCTTTTGATTTCCTTTGGGAATCTGCCCACTTTAAACACTGATGTGCTTCAAAATTTTGTTTTTGAACCATTTCTCTCATTCTATGTGTTCTTCCTGGATTATTCTAGGCAATGATTTTAACATTATGAGAATAGTTCAGCGCTCAGTGTTGGTATCCCAGCTCTACCATTCTAGCCGTGTTGTAGGAATCCAGGTGCTTGCTCTTAATTCTTCAGTTTACCTCTAAAGTGGATTAAAAAACAATAGTTCCTAATTTAAGAGATTAGTTTCAAAATTAAATGAGATAATTCATATTAAGTATTTCTATGGTAAGCATTAAGTAAATGTCATCTATTAACCCCTGCTACTGATCTCCAAATCCGTATCTTCCAGGTTGACCTTTTGAGCTTCAGCTCTATCCAATTGCGTGGCATATCCACTTGGATATCCATAGTCCCCTAACTTGACATGTCCAGGACTAACCACATTCCTTCTTGTCTCCAGCACCTATTTTTTTCTCCCTGTTTTAGTTAATGATGTTATCATCCAATTCTGAAATGAGAGTTGTTGTATATTTCCCTGTATCTTACTCCCAACTAAGTAATTGTCTTACTCATTCTTATTATTTAAACATCCACTTAATCAGTTCTATCTTAAGCATTTCTTGCCTACGGTTTTTTATTTATTTTTTCAAATAGTTTATTGTCAAATTAGTTTCCACATAACACCCAGTGCTCATCCCCACAAGTGCCCTCCTCCATGCCCCTCCCCCCTCCCCCCACATCCATCAGTCCTCAGTTTTTGTCAGCATTCAAGAGTCTCTCATGGTTTGCCTCTCTCCCTTTCCCCCACCATTTCCCCCCTTCTTCTCCCCCTTGTTCCTCAGTTAAGTTCCTCCTAATCCTCCTATACGTGCAAACATGATATTTGTCCTCTGCCTGACTTATTTCACTCAGCATAACACCCTCAAGGTCCATCCATGTTGCTACACATGGCCAGGTTTCATTGTTTCTCATTGCCATGTAGTATTCCATGGTATAGATAAACCACATCTCCTTGATCCATTCGTCTGTTGATGGACACTTAGGCTCTTTCCATGTTTTAGCTATTGTGGAGAGTGCTGCTATGAACATTGGGGTACATGTGCTCCTATGCATCAGCATTTCTGTATCCATTGGGTAAATTCCTAGCAGTGCTATTGCTGGGTCATAGGGGAGTTCTATTGTTAATTTAATGAGGAACATCCACACTGTTTTCCAGAGGGGCTGTACCAGTTTACATTCCCACCAACAGTGTAGGAGGGTGCCCGTTTCTCCACATCCTCGCCAGCATCTAGAGTTCTCTGATTTGCTCATTTTAGCCACTCTGACTGGCGTGAGGTGGTATCTCAGTGTGGTTTTGATTTGTATTTCCCTGATGAGGAGGGATGCTGAGCATCGTTTCATGTGTCTGTTGGCCATCTGGATGTCCTCTTTGGAGAAGTGTCTGTTCATATCTTCTGCCCATTTCTTCACTGGGTTGTTTGTTTTTCAGGAGTGAAGTTTGGTGAGTTCCTTATAGATTCTGGATATTAACCCTTTATCTGATATGTCATTTACAACTATCTTATCCCATTCAGTTGGTTGCCTATTAGTTTTATGGGTTATTTCCTTAGCTGTGCAGAAGCTTTTAATCTTGATGAGGTCCCAATCATTTATTTTTGCTCTTGATTCCCTCCTGCTTACAGTTTTGCAGAAGCCTTTTAGTGGTCTTGGTACCAATCTTGACCTCATCTAATTTATTTGCCACATTGCTATCCTAGATCTCTATTTGGAACTTCCTTAATGACACTCTTGCTTTTCATCTTCTCTGAAGCTCTACCGTAGACAGTAGGTTAAGACTCTTTCACCTGTAAGAATCCAGACTCCTTAGTATAGCCCTCATATGAGGTTCTTAAGACCTGACCCACTTTATGTTCCTACCTCATCTTTTATGTTCTTTTTTTTTTAATTTTTAAAAAAATTTTTTATTTCTGAGAGACAGCGTGAGCAAGGGAGGGTCAGAGAGAGAGGGAGACACAGAATCCGAAACAGGCTCCAGGCTCTGAGCTGTCAGCACAGAGCCTGACGTGGGGTTCCAACCCACGAACCATGAGATCATGACCTGAGCCAAAGTCGGACGCTTAACTGAATGAGCCACCCAGGTGCCCCTTTTATGTTCTTTTAAAATCAACTGCCTGTATGGTCACATGCTGTTTCTTGTTCAGTTCCTGTTTGTGCTTTCTTTCTGAATAGAACATCCTCTCTGCTCCCCTGTCATCTCTTTACCAGTAAGTGGACTCTTCACCCTCCCATGGTGGGCCACCTGTCTATAGAAAATACCACTTTTGCTTTTAAAAAATCTTTAAAAACGCAAGTAGCTAAGACAGTTTTGAAGAGGAACAAAGGTGGGTCGGTCCTACCAGATATTAAGACATAGTAGAAAGCTTACAGTAATGTTGTGGCAGTAGTAGAGGAATAGATGAATAGATCATTGGCATAGTATAATAAATTCAGAAATAGATCAGCATATATGTGAGAAATTGAGTATGATAGAGCATCACAAACCCATGGGGAAAACCATACTCCATGTTGTGGATATATATAGGATTGTAAAAGTTCAAAAAAATAGATTGAAAGGACACAATAAACTTGCAATAGTTATATTGGGGGTGAAGTGAGGTGGAGTAGGGGAGAGGTTGAAGGGGTCTTAAATGACAATTGTTTCCTCTATTCACAGGATTTCTTTTTAAAAAAATTTTTTTTAATTGTTTATTTTTGAGGGAGAGCACACAAGCAGGGGAGGGACAGAGAGAGAAAGGGAGAAACATTCTTTTTAATCTTTTTTAATTTCTGAGAGAGAGAGAGAGAGAGAGAGAGAGACATGCAGCGTGAGTAGAGGGGGTCAGAGAGAGAGGGAGATACAGAATCCCAAGCAGGCTCCAGGCTCTGAGCTAGCTGTCAGCACAGAGCCCGACGTGGGGCTCCAACCCACGAACTGTGAGATCATGACCTGAGCCGAAGTGGACGCTTAACCAACTGAGCCACCCAGGTGCCCCTACTCACAGGATTTCTGACACCAAATGTGTTTTTCCCACACCAAACATCTCCCAGCTCTCCAGACAGCAGCTGAGTATCCCACAATTCAGTTCTCCTTGCTACCTGGAATTAGCATAGACCCTATAGGTTAAGGGTTCAGTCTCATAAGACTGTCCTCAACTTTGGATGCCAGTCACAAGTAGTGGGTCCCTGGGTTACCCCCACTTCTGCCTTACTTGGCTACAAATCAGTTTCTGTGACCTCCTACTTAGGTTTGATAATTTGTTATAATGGCTCACACAGCCAAACTAGGAAAACACTTTATTATTTCTG